GGTGTCTTTTTTGGAACAGACTGAATCTATTAGGTTTGTAGTCAATTTTGACAGTGCTGTAGAATGATGGCTACAGTATCAGTGCCAGCAAGGACAATGCAACATGTATGTAATTATGGAAACAGAGGCTGATTCTCTCATGCTAGAAGTAGTATTAACAATAGACTATATATGAACCAGTGCCTCAGTATTGTCTTTTACAAAGTCACACTCACTGTTAACTTTAGGATTCATTCTAAAACAACCATTGTTGGCTGGAGCCTCACAATTTACATCCTTGAGTAGCCTGTTTCATCAACTCTGTAGATCTATATTTTATGCTCTTATTTCTTTTAGCCTTTATCTGTGTACTGCAGTCTTACTCTGCTTGAACATACACAGTATGACTGATGACAATAAACAATTCTGGGATTGCCAAAAACCAAACACTATAAAGTGCAATACCCATTCGAGCTGTTAAATGCGACTCTACAAAACAATGGCACTGCAGTGCAGAAAGCAATATACAAGAGGAGAGTTGAGTGACAAGTATAGTGTGGTCTATTGAAAGGCCTATTAATTATAAGTATTGTCTGTATGTTAGTTAAACAAAGTAGACACAATGTACGTTTCTGACATGAACCAACAATAAAATCCCTTAACAAAGCCAAGTTAAAAAAAAAATAGTCAGCATTTTGGAAAATACTTTATGTTGCTGTGAGGTAGGTGAGAGGAATGACACCACTCCTATCCTATAGCCAGTTGGCTTAGCTTAGCACAGAGACTGAGAGCAGCCAGGCTTTATCCAAATGTGAAAAAAGAGTGTTACATCATTGTTGGTTTAATCAGTACAAAAGTGTAAAAAAAAAAAAGATTGTTGTGGGGGAACCAGTGAATTCTTGCTCCCCATAAAACCTGCAAAACAGACTCAATAAACAAGATTGTACGTGTTAATTGGTGATCTTCAGCGGGGCTGGAAGGTGGTTTTGTTACCTTGGAAAGTGCCAAGCTAGCTGTTCACCTCTGTTTCCAGTTTTTATGTTAAGCTTAGCTAAGCTAAGGTAAGATGAGCCAACTGTCTCTTTGCTTCACCTCCATATTTAATGGACAGATATGAGAGTAGAATTAATCTTCTTTTAGGAAGACAGCTAATCAGCGTATTTCCCAAATCTATCTTTTAAAATCTACAAAAGAATGATAACAGATTTTCAAACCCCTACATGATTTTAGGTGAACCAGGTGTACAGACAGTAAAGCATTAAATATTATCTGGTTTTTCTTCAGTGTACTAATTGAACGTTTTAGATCTAAAGAACCAAATTAACATTTGAAAGTCTTTTCAATATACTTTTGTTACTTCAAATAGACCATTGTTTGAACTGTTATAAGGATTAACTTTACTGTATGAAGTAGAAAAGCTGGTTTTAGAGAGAGACATTTTTGACAGTCCTGCTGTGCATCTACTTTAACATGGACTGATTCTGTACCATTATTAGTTATGAGTACATTACAGGGACAGGAGGACAGGTATTACGTTTTCCATTTAGATTCATTTCTAATTTATAGGCTGGTAATGCTTTGTTCAGTTCCTCATATGATTACTATCCCTTGTAACACAGTGATTTTCTCAAAGCTTTTCTCTATTCAATAACAAAAGCGAGAAACCATATGAAAATGCCACAATAACGAAGGATCGTGGGAAAAAAATACCTGGCAGCACAGAAGAGGTTCATCAAAAAAACATAAAGACAAGAAAAAAGAAGCTGGCTGTCTGTCACCTGGCAAAAAGAGAAGGCGATTTAATATCTGAGAACAAAGCTACTCCCTCTAGCAAGTCAAACCTTTAATTACAAAACACGATAGGAGACCAAGGCCACCCAATATTACCTTGGCAACCTTGATACAAATCATACAAAGCAAATGAAGCATTTAAAGAGGAATGGATAGGAGCAATAGCTTTAACAGCGCAACTCGCAGAGAGAGGAACCAAGACAGAGGGAGAGGATACGAGTGAAACCAGGGGGAGGGGGACAGCGAGCTGCTCCAGAAACAGGCGTATGAAAATTGATGGAGTCTGGGGAAGCAATTGATAGTTAGAGGACAGGAAGCAGGCTGTAAGGCAATTATCACTATCTCTGGCATTTGATTTAAGACCGTCTGAGTGTGTAATACTGTGAATTAATCAAATCCAAGGTAGATACATCAGGAGCTCATTTCTGCCTTAAATTTCGATGATTCTTCTCCATCACTGGAAAATGTACTTTAGAGATGTTCTAATTAGTGCAGCTTATGAATTTCCACTCACTCGGGGTATAAGTGTTATGTGTGGGTGTGTGTGTGTGTGTCAGTAGGAGAGAGGTGGAGGGATAAGCTTGATGAGACAGTTACCTTATATGAACGTATGAGCCAGCTTAATCATCATAAGCAACGCTTCTGGGAACCCACACAAACGTCCGCACATTTAGACCAATCTGGGACCAAAAACATAAATATAGGCATATGTAAACAAAAACAAGTGTTAACAAGTGTTAGCACCCGAGCCACTATATCCACACATACAGAACATTCATACATAAACTATATGTGCCACCCATTAGGCTGTAGAGTGAGATACCGCTACAATTACTGTTCCTGATGGAGCATCTGCATGAAAAGCATTACATTTATTCATGTTATATTATTCTTAGACTATGAAGCAAAGTGTTTACAGCAATAATCAACTGCTGTCCATTTACACAGAGGGTTTAATTCAGCAAAGGAAATGACATACAGTATGTTGTTTAATAGTCCAGGCTGCAGATGGCCTAATGAATACCCTGATGTGTAAAAACAGCAGGGCATCACCATCAATAAAAATGCATTTAGAAAAAAAAATGTCTTGATTGACCTGTAAGTTCATTTGCAAGTGCTGTGATACACTAGTAATATGCGTCTGGCAGAATATGCAGATCGTTTGTGCCCCCTAATGGAAAGATTCACTCTCGTAAATGTCAGTTTTGTGGTGTGAAATAGATCTTGTGAGAGTGATTGTGCTTGTCTGTCCAGGAGAACTCCAGGTGATGTAACTTTTTTTTCCCCCTTGCTTGATACCATTTAGAGCTGTTTGCCCGAAAAGAAAATAATTGCATGTTTTTCTGTACTTTACTCTTGTGTACTGTACAAAAGAGAGAACCATCTGTTTTGTATTTTTTGCCATTGTAACTCCAGACAGTGGGACCAACACAATGGCGCATTTGTCATCTTGCAGCAGTAAATAGGCCAACAGAGTCATAATGGTTTGCTTCATCCATGTTTGTTTTTTTTTGATAAACCTTTGAAACATGAGCTACCTAATTTAAATATTAACATTTGCTCATTCAGTGACTGATTCAGGCCCTTTACTGAATAGGCTGTTGTTGAATCTATCAGCCATTGAAGCCATTTCACTTTAAACTTAGTAAAAAATGTACATGATGTTATTATCAACAGTGTTTGTTGATGTTTAACAGTCAACCTGTGGAGGCCATGCTTTTACCAAGTTTCTATGTAATATATTTTTGTGATTAACCTCTCCATCATTACTAAAGGCTCTTGTGATAAACAACATTGTTATGACTCTAAACTATTCAGAAAAGAGCTAATCATCAGTTAAACAAGTTTTATCTTCACAGAAAACCCTTTCACCTCAAAATACCTCTTCAGAGTCAGTTTTACCCACAATGAGACAATCCTTTCAGGGCGCTTCAGTATTACCATTGCTGTCAAACTGTGACTGTCTCACCAAACAACAAGGCTGCCCTCTGGTGGTATAGGGATGATGACAAAGGTATAACTGAGGTCTGCCTGAGAAACGCTAGATTTTAGACTAGACCTGTCTTTACTGCCCATTATTTACATTTACCACCTCATGACATATAGTCCAGACCCATTATTCTTCCAGTAATGGGATCTGAGAATAAAATTAACTACATACTGTACATTTTGGTGACCATATAACATTACTTTGAATTAATTTGGTTATGCATTGAACTGCATTAAAGGCAGTTTTACTGTCTGCAAAGTGAAAAGAGAGGGGAAATAGATCTGCAGTCCCCAGTTAGACATCAACAAATCTTGCATCTAAACATACTTTTTGTGTGTCAGGAAATAAAAACTTAAGATTTACAGTGAAATACTCTTAAAATGAGCCTTTATAAACTTTAAATCTCACCCAGATTTTAAATTTCAGTTTCTAATGTTGCATAGACCTGAATGTGTAAATGTGAGATTCAGTCACTATGAGGCTCCATTTGTCTGAAATATATCAACATTAAGATGTATCTGTGGAAACAAAGACAGGCCATAATAATTTAAATCTAAAAGAAATAATTGTAAAATGTAACCGACAGTGAGCACTGAATACCTCTGAAGTCGTAGCATTAAAATATTTTACTCTGAAAACCATCTATCTGAATTTATGTGGTTTGAATTTGCCTCTCTGAAATTTCATTCAGTTTTGTGATTTTGCTCATTATCTGCGGTTAATAAATGTAATGTGTAGAATTTCCTGTCGCTCCCCTGAGCTTCTCTTCCTTCGGCTCATGTGACTGAAGGCAAAGGTCTAACTAATTCAATTTACTTTTTTTCAGTAGCTTGAATGTTCCTTGAAAGTTTTCATGTTGAGTTTCTGTGTAGAACCAGTCCGATTTGATTAACTTAGTTTATTTTTTTTACTTTACAATTTCTTAATCCAATAGTTTCCATGTGAATTAAAAAAAAGTGAACTTGTAAGGACCTAGAAATTTAATAGAGCGGAATTTAAACAATAATTCATAACAATTGTTTTAAAAGTGAAAGAATTCATTGCTTTAAATTCATTGGTATTTAAATGTCAAGATATCCTGCTGTGGTTCAATTTCACAATTAGGTTTTTAGCGACCCATAAGACGCAAATCATTAAGGCTTTTCCGTATGTGCCTAACCTGTAAAAAAAAAAAAAAAAAAAAAAAAAAAGAATAGGAGAATTTGAAGTTACTGTAACACTTTATTTTCTTAAATACCACAGAATATTAGTACAGTCAGCCACACATATTTCATATTTTCAGAGGCAGAAGACATTCTGGTCCCTCTCACCCTGCTTTCATAAAGGGATAAAAGGAAACCTTGGGTGGCATCAGAGGCTACGTTTACACACACACACACACACACACACACACACACACACACACACACACACACTGGTAGCCATATTCCAGTTAAGATCTTCATCATGTTTAATTGGCAGCAACTTCGATTATCTTTAGTATCCATGTTGCACCAACAATCTAATTATTAAAAGGGATAGGGTTATACTTTCCAGCTGCTCCCTCCCTGTTTGAACAATACTGAGTTATCTCTAACACAGGGGAAAGAAATTATAATCCCAGTTTTAATCATTTTGGTCCCTTTGATGATGAGGACAATAACCTTATGTCACAGCCAGGGCTGATGTGAGACTTACAGGCTTCATTTGCCAATTTGATATGATCAGCCTGTAAAAAAAAAAAAAACTCACTGAAGCATTAGACTACATGTGCAAAATGAGTCTCATGCATGAGTTTCAATTTTGTTGTCAACTCATTTGTTGCTCAAAAAGGGAAGTGTTTTACGAGGTGTCCCTGAACTGGAGTACGGGTTACTCTGCATTATGACATTTTCGAGAATCAACACAGAACCAGAATAACCACATCAATAGCATACACCTCCATGCATGTAAACATAGCCAGTGTTGTCAGCTACAGTATGTACAGTGTTGATTCAGGCAGTGCATGATGAAACCAGGTCAGTAGTGCCAAAGTCAGCAGTTAGAAGGTTCATATTTAGGGGAGTTGAGGTTAAATCTCACCGGTAACATGTCTGCAGTCAGGTCAAGACATCATTTAAAAATCAACTTGTCACTTCTGACATTCTGTCTCTGAATTTATCTTTCAGTAGTACCATCACTGAAGCAATAACAGATTCATTGGCACATTAAACACCATCATGAACAGAGAGTGCTGCAATGAATATAGATCATTTCTGACATTTAAAAGTTTGCGAGATAGAAATCTAAGCAACCAGTGAGCCATATCTGCGTGATGACAAAAGTAAAAAAAAAAAAGAAGTAAAATAAAGGGTCTCTTCAGAGTTACAGTGCAGCAATATGAAATGGTGTATTCATAACCAATAAAATCTGATAGGCAGGAGGACACTGAACATAAAGAACACTCTGAAAGGATACAGCACAACAGGAGTGTGCCATATTGCACCAGAAGAAAAACTGCATTCAGGTCTGAATGGTATTGGATAAAGAGAAAATGGGATGCAAACGACTTTGTAGAGAAAAACAGCTTATTTACAGGGTAAGAAAGAAGTGGAGGGCTAAGCTTTCATAGACATTCACACACTTAATATCCACAGTATATACCAAAAGACATGCGTAGAGGCACATACATATTTATCATACGAAAACAAAATATACCAAAAGCAGAACACCAGTCAGACACAGCTTTTTGTGTCTCAAATCTGTTCAACCAACAATGAAAACAACGCACGCAAAAGCACTGATATCATGGGATGTGAAAAGGCAAAAGCTGAAGTTCCAGCCCTTTGAATAAAAAAAAGATTAACACTGTCACAACAACAAAGACATCAGTAATCTACCATCCATCTCTTTACCAATACTGAGTGCCAGCCTCATTTTCAACAGAATGGTATCACCCACAGAAAAAAAACATCTCCTTTTTTTTTAATATGAGGTACAATATTTGGTTTTCAAATTGGGTTCTCAACATTCCCAGAATATGTTCAAACATTTGCATTTGCCTTGATAAATTAGAAATAAAATCCTGCTTTGATCCGTAAAGAGAGGGGCAGAATCAAAAGGAAGAAAAATGTTATGTGTCAGAAAGGTAGGTAAGAATACCTGCGTAGTTTAAATTGGATTGGAATTGTCTGACTGCAATATACAAAGTGTTATGGGACTGCAGACTGTAAAAAATAAATGCTTGCATGATTTGAAATGCTACAATTTGTTTAAGACAGTGAGATTATTCTGAATGTGATAAGGTAAAAAGGCATCTTAAGAAACCGGTCTCTAGTTTTCTGCTCACCTTGACAGAAAGTGTATTTTTGTATTGTAAAGTAAAACATTCCTTTAGACTACGGCTAAATAAAAACCTTGCAGACTAATAAAAAGAGCAGTTAAAGATACAAGGACTCATTGCAGTGTTTGAGTACTACCTGTATTGCTACCGACAAATTACAAGATTCCCTTTTCCTCAGTGAAAGTCACAAAAACACAACCTTAAAAATCACTTTTATAGCTCACTGTAGTTTGGCAAATCACAGAGAAGACATAGTCATAAGTCACTGTCACAAACTGATAACTTTCATTGACAAAAACATCTGAATTATTTTAATTAACGGTCACTACAGAGTAAAATAAATTAGACCTCTTTTTTCTTTTCTTTTTTTTAAAACTCAATTCAATTGTTACTCCTCTTTCTCGTGGATAGAGGCACGTACACGCTTGCGTACATAAAAAGCGGTAAGAGCACTGCAGCAGGCAGTGAAGATGAAGAGTGCAACGGCATCGTGTGCGAGATCGCCATGAAGACGCTCGTAAAGGGGGCGGCGCTCTGTGAAGTCTGTGCGCAGTGCTTCGATCTGCGTCAGGGTGCACACCACCACGAACACGTGGAATATCTGGTGGCCCTGCCCGATGAAGTCACACTTCCCAGGGAACAAACTCTCTGGGTGAGGACAGCAGAAGAAATAGGCGCTGATTAAGAAAAAGAGCACATGATAGAAATGGTACACCACAATTGGGTCGGAGCAGCCCTCCTGGTAGCAGCTGTAGATGCGGTGAACCACAGGGCTTATGTCTAAACAGTAAGCCAAGGCTGAGGGCACCACTTGGAAGAGCTTGAGGGCAAACTTGGGTATCTCAGGACTGGCATATTTGCCATAGCAGCAGCCGAAGCAAGTAAGCCAGGCCAAGAATGCTGCTGTGGGTAAAAAGAGCCCTTGCACTCGAGTGTGCCACTCTTTCTCTATGGCGTAGTAGTAGTGCGCCAGGGCACTGCCATACTGGTAGACAGCGACCCCTACATAGTCGAGAAAGTAGAAGGTGTAGCAGGAGAGCTCGGACTTGGCAGAGAGGAGATGGGCGAGGGCGCTGAAGGAGAGGTAGGTGAAGGCTGCCAGGAGGACAATGAAGAGAGGCTGAGCGTGAGGGTCTCGCAAAAAATCAACCGTCTCAGAGATCTCCTGCCACTTCACCAAGATGATGAGGGCAGCCAGCAGATGGGTCCACACATTGAGGGTCTCATTGTGCCTTTGAAAGAGGGTGAGGAAGTAGTAGCGCCAGCTTTGGTCCGGCTGTCTGTAGCCGGTGAGGATGTGACGCTCGCGGAACACCCAGGGAACGTCAGACACCTTCACAGTGCAAGGCAGTGTGGGGAAGGCCGACTCCAGCAGCTGAGGGATCTGACGTAGCTGCTGCGCATTGATGAACAGGCGACCAATCTGCTCCATCACCACCGTCGCCATGGCAAACTGGAGACGAGAGGGGGAGGGCAGACAGAATGAACGAACAGTCAGTTAAGTCAATATCTGTCTGGCCTTCAGATGCCGTCAGATACTGTTTGCATCTGCATGTGTATGTAAATGCATGGAGAGACTACTGCGAGTTTGCTCCTGCAACACGGCCACTATTACAAAAAAGGAAAGCATTAGGTGTTGGGTCAGTGAACAGAAAAATTATCAACAACAATTTAATCATTTAAGTCAATTACCACACAAAACGTTAAATATTCTCAGTTTCCAGTTTCCTGCTTTTCTTTTTTGCATAATTGCATTTGAAGATGTCACCTGGGGCTCTGAAATTTTAACAGGGATTTTCACTGTTTTCTTACATTTTCGAGACCAAATGATTGATCCAAAAATAAAGTAAATAAAATAAGAGTCTCTCAAATGACAAATAAATAATAGATATACTTAATCAGCAACATTTTCATTAACTTTTTTTCCTTAAAGCTGCAATAATTGTTTTATTTTCCTTTTTTGCCACTTGAGGGCTGAGGGACAAATTGGAAAACACAACACTTACTTAACATTAGCTTTATAAGTAGCTGTAGCAAGAATCAAAGTTGATTTGAGTGAAGTTAGTGGGCCAGAAAACCAAAACAATAATCCATAGAGTAAAATAGACTAAAAGGCTCTATAGAGACAAAGTGCAGTGTTGAGTGATAATCCTGCATGTTCCACACTGATTAACCGCATTCATATTACACACATCATTTGATTCATTAACAACAGAAATATTGATTGGTGCAGCTTTAAGTGTTTCCATTTGTAGAAGTGAATTACCCTTATGTTTTCATAATTGATAATACATCATGGATTCTTATGGATAAGAGTGTAATTCGTGGTGGCAATAGAGCATCTGACTGGTTTCTCTGGCTTGTTCCCAAGATTTTCTTTCTTTTTTTTCCCCCAGGTTTTACTAAAATTTATATAGTGTAGTGTCTCAGTGTACTCTGAAAATTAAGATTAGAACAAATACAGTTTGTCTGTTGCAGAAGTTCCCATAAATATGTTGCACTTTCAGGTTGATTTGCTTTCATCTTTTGTCCAGCTCCATGGTGTTTAAGTCTGGAGACCGTGCTGCTCGTCCATAATTTGAAGACAATGTAGCTGGGTTTTTTTTTCTTCTAATGTTTTGGGTCATTATCTTGCTGGAAGATGAACCCCTGACCAACCAGTCTGTCTTCCTTTGTTACTTGTCTTTTTCTCAGTAGAGATGTTCCAATGCCATTTTTTCCTTCCCAAATACCGATTCAGATACCTGAACTTGTGTATCAGCCAATACAGAGTACCGATCAGATACCAATGCATTAAAAATAAATAAATTAACAGCTGTATACTAGTAACCCAGCATGGATGTAATATGATTGCTATCATTGTTGTATGGCATAGCTCAGGTTAAACCCTTTGTAAAACATGAACAGATACATGAAGAGCTGCTATATAATCTCTTTTATCATCTAATTTGACTGCCAATCCTAAAATAAATGTGCATGAAAATTCCTACACTAGTTGCACGAGTGCCACACCTTGAAATTTAAGCCTTGCACACTGTACACGTTGCTTTGTTACTGGTGGGACTTTCCAGCGTAAAATATTGCGAAATGGCTGACATTTTGTTAATGGCTAACGTTACACTATTTACCAGAAATCAATTATTCTTTGCTGTTCTTAAACAGCAGTTGCCAGTGGCTGCAAAGGCTACTGTTTTAGAGCGGTGAAGAAGATTTACTTTCATGAAAACTGCCTTTTTATCCTGGTGTGAAACTATAAAGTTTATTAATGAATTACGGGGTATCAGTGCAAAGACTTTTTTTGTATTCGCTGATACCCGATCCAGTATTTTATCCAGTATCGGAGCCATTTCCAGTACTAGTATCAGTATCAGAATACTTATTGTATTCTATAATAATAATCATACTTATAGCAATACTACTTCCTGCAGTACAGTACTGTCGTAATCATCAGAGAGTGCAGTAACACGGTTTGTGACACAGCCTTAGTACAAACGTTAGGGGCAGCTGTAGGAAGTGTTTACATTAACTTTAAAGGCGTCATTTACTAACATTGCTGCAGGAAAGCTGTAACTTTACCAATTTCTTCATCCCTGAAAAAGGTCTGTTTTCTGTAAGGTCATTCACTAGAGTTTAACTGCTGAAATTTCAATAAAACAATGTTTGAATGGGGGTATTATAAAACCTATGACAGGCAGTGTAGACCTTTATACAGAATCAAACCTACAGTTGCTCTGCTTAACAGGTGTAGGTAGGATTTGAAAGGTTTTAATGCACAAGAGTATGTATGTTGTTTTGACGGTCGAGTGATAATGGATGAATGTTCATCCAGGGGTGGACAATGGATAAAATCCTCCATGATTAATTTTATATCATAATATCAGTATAGGCTACACAATGATATAGTACATTTTCTAAACACCTAGAGTGTTGAAAGGATCGGTATCACAATATAAATGACAAAAGAAGAGTCGCAATAATTATAACAGCAGTGGAAAATGATTCCCACCTGACCTCGGGATGATTTCACATCTCCTGTTTTGCTAAGATGATAATCATTTGTTTGTTTTTTCTCATTTATAAATATAGCTCAACTGGTTTTTTGGACTCACTCTGAAGTAAATAAGTGACTTTAGATGACTTACACAAGATTAGGGAAAATATGTCTTAAAGCTCCTTGCAAGCTTTGCAAGAACAGAATTTTCTGTTTGCTGCCACACTAACAAATTGAGTTAAACATTAAATATAGTAAACCTAACTATGCACACTGTGCTGAGTTAGTCTTTTGGGCAATAACTATGTGATACTATGTGAGCGCCATTTACACATAAGGAGACCAGGATTAAAATCAGTTAAACATTTTCATTTATATCACTTCAGATCTCTCTGGGTTCACTTCTCAGAGATGTGGCGAGCATCCTCAAAGAGAGAGGGAGATCGGGCTGAGTGGGATGAGCGCAGGCCGAGCGAGGATCAGGAGGAAAAGGCGTGGAGTGATGAATGGGAAGATCTTACGTAACATAACCCCATCAGACCCACACCCTCCGTTTCCAAGAACGGTTGCAATCCTTTAAAATATTTATGGGTAAAAGGAAAATGCTCGACTATATTCAGGAAGGATGTTTCAACGTGTGGTTTTTAAACCACAGGCCTTTAGCAATGGGCCTGTTGCAGTTAATTCCCCCAAGCAAACCTGCACCTGATCGACATGTCTGTTTGAATTTGAGAGCCAGTGTCCGATATAGATTTGCATCAGCACTTCCTCTGAGCCTCGGGGCTTGGCTTCAATTCCCCCGAAAGCAACATTTTGCTGTGCGGTGTTAAGAGATGAATTTTAAAAAAACATCTCGCTGCACATTCATGAAAACTGACTGACGGTTTTTGCGGTCGGGGCGCCTCTCAACCTATTTCACGCTGTGCCACTTTACCATGAATTACCATGAATTTTCGAGAAAAAAAAAATGTAATAAAAAAAATGGTCATACCTGTAGATGGTAGAATCAATCCAAAGTCTGAGATGCAGCAGTCAGTGAGTGATTTAGAGGCGTGCGGAACATAGATAACATTGTTTGGAGGGGTGAGCGGATATAGGATGACCGTGTCGGGAGCAGCGCCTGGCGGCTCTCACGGCGCAGCTGCCGAGAGGATACGGATACAGGGCCGTTTGACAAGCGGCTCCTCTGGCCAAACAGCTAACACGGCGCTGCTCTTTTCTGCCGCTGCACACACCGTTTTAACCAATGGCTGCTGTCGCCTGGCCAAAGACCCCGCCCACTTTCAACAGAAATTCTTCCACTACCAGATAAAATGCATGACACTCCCATGAGGCATTTCTATCATATATGGCCTCTGGGCGCCCATTCTGCTAGTTGTCTAACAGACTAGTTAATATGATTGTTATATATGTGATAATATGATGATGTTTAGTCAGACATTAGAAAAAGATTAGAAGTCATATGATGGTAATAGTTATGCAATATACTGATCTGATATCCTTATTTCTAAATCATTCCAGATAACAAAATGAAACCTGTTGCCCAACATATGCCTGGGTCCTCGGACCAAGTCTGGCCCATATACTTCTTTCTGGACAGAGTCTGGCTGTTATCCTAACAGCTGGAAGATTTTCTGTGTGCGCCAAAATTGGTCCAGATGTGGAAGTAGCATCTGACAATCACGGTGTATTCGGGCCAGATTCGGGCAGTGAAACCGGTTGTAAATTGGGCCAGAAGAAAAGAAGCATGTGGCCCAAGTATGGGCCCTATTTATTTTGCTATCTGGGTATTTTAATATTATCCTATCACAGTATGTATGGTATGTATATAACAGTTCATGGTCTGTCTATTAGACTCTATTAGGCATGGTTAATGGTTAAGGGGACACATTTGGGGACACATCAGCTGTTCCTTTCAACATGCAACAGCTAATTTGTCGTGAAGCCTGTTGCCATCCCGTAGATAATAGGACAATAACTATACACTCACAAAATGTTTTGATAGTACCCCATGCTTGATATTGTAACATATATGCGGCATGATATCGTGTGCATTCCTAAAGTGCATATGTTCTTAATTTGGCTTCATAGCTTCTTTCCAAGTTACTGTGATAACCCTGCTGGAGCTCATTTGGTTATCAAAACCTGCAATTTCCCTGCTTGACTAGTGTGGTCACATCAGTTTTATGGTTAATGCCTTTCTCTTGTTTGGCGCTCAGTAACAAAGCTTCCATTGTTAGACTCAGTATTACTGAAAGATCTGCATTGTTCCCTGATTCAAACCATCCTACTCAGTGTATATTCCCAACAGAGATGAATTTTCCGGGTGTGTCTACAATAACACTGAATATTTCTTGCCCTCATGGGTATAAACTCACTGTAGGATAATCTGTGTCTTAACCTGAATAAGGCCTACTTCAGAGGCTCAGGACATGGTTCACATTATGGAATAGAGCAGATAAAAAATGATGCCGCATAAATATTGGTAAAGCCAGCAAAAGTCATGATCATGAGCAGGCTGAGGAAAGGGTCTTGGAGTGGAGCCAGTCTTTGTCCCCTGTGTTGTCAGACAGTGGAGGAAAAGTGCTCTATGGGACAAGCATCTTTGTGGGCTGATGAGTCCAGCAGTTTTCTCCAAACACATGACAAAGATGGGATTGTGGAGCACTGTGTGTGCATTTGTGAGCATAACAAAACAGACTCAAACAAAAACAACTATGTGTAAATTTGTACACACCTCAACAAATATTACACTGTGACCACAAAGTATTAGATTGCTAAGAAACTTGAAAAACATGCTAAACATGAGTGAAAGCGATTTTGATATGTTAAAACATGTGGGTCATTTCACGTATAAGAACTAAAAAAAGGTGGATGTTTCTGTTGTTGTTTCTTGAATTTAGGCTTTTAATTTCTTATTGATGAGGAAAAAGCTTGATCCATGAGTGCAGCTATGTGTGACTTGCTGTGTGCAAATATTTTACAGTGCACGTCATGAGTGTAGTTCAATTATCAACATTTTTCAAATGATACCCCTGGTGTTAAACCACTTTAAATCATCAAACCTTTGTGACACTATGTATTGTTTATTGAATCAAATGTTATTATATTTTCTAATGCATGAACACACAATGCCATATCAGTGTCTATTCAAATTTAGGAGCCAAAAAAATAAGTAAAAATCCTGATATCCAATCAAAGAAATGTCATCAGAACAATATGTTGAATGAGAGTAATCAGAAACACAAAACCCTACATGCTTCAGAACCAAACCCATGTTCACTACATAAATTTGTGACAACGCGATTACTGTGACAGCTTGTAACACTCAGTGCTGGGCCCATGTGCTGCTTATGCATGAGGTTGTCACTGCATACAAGTATAACATTACAGCTTTGTCTACCAGCGCTGTCTTGTGCTGATGGGAGCATATGTGTCACTACAGTCCAAAGACATTCTGCTCATGTGAATCTGAACCTACAATATGCCCATAGGTGTAAATGAGTGAATATGTTTATCAGTTACCACAGTGATAGGCTGGTGTTTCCTTGCCTTTACCATAAACCTTCCAAGCTATGTCCGTTGTCACATGACAGCAGTTCTCAAACTTTTTGCCTTGGGACGTGAAGCAATGTCTACTTCTATACTACTTTGTTGTGTTGTTCTACATCAGTTATAATATTACATGCAGACAATGCATCCTTTTTTAATTATGGGCTATAAAATCAACTGTGCCAAAAGGCCTTCACTTTTCTCTGCCCTCTCTTCCATACCTTTACTACTCTTATTTGTTAAAATGACCTTCTTCTAGAAGGACTGACAAAGGGAAGGTAAATCGTGAAAATGGTTTGCCATACTCTCATGGGCAACAAGCTGTTGTTGTTCATCCACGTGAAGACAATCTGCTTAATATGCAGCACTGTTACTCCTCTGTCTCTCTACAAATAGGGCTGTGTCAAGGCATTTCTCTGATTCTCTTCTACCTTTCTTTATAAATTGTCTTTTTTCAGAGGCTACTTGTTGTGATTTTATATAATCGAAACGTTATGTCGTCCACATTATGAGACACTGACATCATTAGTGTTTTTGTATATTGGGTGTGGCCAGTTCTTTACAAATACAGACCAGTAATTCACTCCCAAACATGCTTGGATAAACTTTGGTTTCCAGCCTTTTTGCCTAGTGACCCCTTAAAATAAAAAAAAATTGCCCTAATCTGTGACTGTTTATGGTTTCACTGTGGACATGAGCTGTTCAACCACTGATTTTTTTCACACAAATGTGAAAGATTTAATTTAAAGATCTGGCCAAATAAATATTCAGTATTTGAGAAGAAAATAGGAAACTAATTTAAATGTGATTATAACACTTATCTCTGTACCCCTTGGGAGTCAGGGCTTTTACATGTAACCATTACAAAACTATTACTAAGATGACCTCACTGCCACTAGGTGTCAGTAGTGTCAAAGTATCACTGAGCATACTACAGAGGGACTTGGTGTGGTTGTACCTTCAAATCCAATAATTATGTCATTCTTCATGAAATGAAGGGTAAACACAATCAACTCTCCAGGACAGAAACTTAAAACTTGGATACAAACTTTAATGGTCAAACCTTGGTATCATACAGTATACTCAAACTTACAGCATTATCAACAGTTCAGAACAGTATTAATTAATGCATTTTAACAGTATGAAACACAAGGAGCAATTTACTGTAATGGAATACCTGCTTATGGAAAAATGTAGTTCATACCACAAAACAGTGTGTAAACAGCTGCCAAAGAGAAATCTACAAGCTAAGAAGAGTCAGACTATATCCACGCCAAATCTAACCGGTATAACCAATTTTGATTCAACAGCACAATCAGAACTAACCCAAGAAACAATAATGCAGAAGCGTCAGTTAAAAAAATATAGCTTATCTTTGGAGATGTAAAAACTGTTTTCCAGGGCATGAACAAATTAATGTTCCCTTTCTTTCATCGACTCCTTGTTCTTCCTCACTTCTTCAAACTTCTTGTCCTGTTTGTGTTTTTAAAAGACAAAAGGATCACAATAGTTTACAATTTTTTTCAACATTAAACATGAAGATATGTTGGTATAACATTAAGAGCTTACCTTCTCCTTGAACTTCTCGTTGAGAGCTGCCATGCGTGCCGTGCGGTTCTCCTTGTTTGCCTCCATCTTCTGATTGAGCTTCTCTTCCGCCTTCTTGCTGAAGTTGCAGTTTTCCTCGATGGCCTTCTGGATGACTTCCTTCTCGTGCTCTCGTTTCTCAGCCAAGTTTTTCAGCACTTCAGCCTCATGGCTCTGACAAAATGACACAAGAGAACCTCTGTAAGTTAACAGTTAACATGCTAGATCTCAAAGTCAGTTAGTGCTTTTCTAAGAAGTTGTTTGGTCACGTCCGTTAGCAACTTGTGTTACTTGTGCAGATACCTTGCGTCTCTCATTTGCAGCTTCCAGCTTCTTCTTGATCTCATCCAGCGATGTTTCCTTTTTTCTAAGAGGGGACAATGGAAATTCTCCCTTGGGATCTGGGGTTGAGGGGCTCAGGATGACCTCAAATGCGTGACCTGACGCACGCTTGTTCAGCTCCTTCACCTTGATGTCTGTAAAAGAGGATATTTTAGTACACACTAGTTTAAGTGATAGTCAATATTGGTTTATTTTTACATGATCAGTTACAAACAATTAACTGACTAAAGTGTGTTCAACTAACTTGTTGTGGACAGACCAGTTAGCTGATCAACCATATCAGCACTCAACTGCCATCCTAAGATAGTGCCTTAACTGAGATTCATTGTCTGACTCAGGAAAATTAAAGGAGGTTGAGTTGGCCCCCTGCTACCTTTTTAGGGGTCACTGCTTTGTCAGAGAGGCCAAAAGAGAACAATAATCTCTTCTGTGTGACAGCATTTTTCCAGTGAAAAAGAAATGAAAACAAGATGTGATAAAACAAAGACCGTTTTTAAGTACTGTGAAAGTGCTGCTGTACAGATCAGTTTTGTAACTTGCTACACCAACCACATCAAAGGACTCCTGTTACTGCTATATAGTTGAATAATGTGTTTGAGTCTTGCATATGGTTTCAGGAACAAAGAAACTTTGCTTTGCCCTACTTTTCTAGTGCTTTTCTGTTTTAGCTATTATATTCTCTTGTTTTTACTGTTAAAGTCTATGCTGGAATTAAAGTGGGACTGAAGAATTTATTTATCCCAAAAGCTATCCACATACAGTAACTATTTCATGGTTTACACCTACCTCCACAGCTTGCCATTTCAGCAGAAATGTTGCCTTTAAAAAAAGAGAAATTAGGGAAAAAAAGAGAAAATTGAAATTAGTTTCAAGCAATGCACATCTAACTGCACACAATGGAACAGTGTTCATTTTACTTCGGTCAAAAGAGGGGTCATAGTGCTTTTTAAGCATGTCCATGTCCTCTCAGCAGGAGGAGCAGTGCATCAATGGAGCTGAGAGTTCTTGTTTTGATAGATCATCAGTCAAGCATGCAAATATGACATAACAGAAACATTAAAAAAAACATTTCTTTCTTCCTTTTTTTCCCTCCTGCTTTGAAATTAGAGAATCATACCGAGCAATATTTTGGGCCCACAAAGTCAAGTTCAGAACCTAATTTCTCCAGCAACTAAATATGTTTGCTTGTTATTTGATGAGGGATCATGTGCATGCAATAATTCATCTTCTCACCTCAAATAAGAATTACACAGCAGCAGGTGCTGTGTAGTTGCACGTTATAGAATTATAACATTACATAATCTGTTCTGTTACCAGTCATAACATGACATGAAATGTCAGGCAAAACAAGTTCTCCACCTCACTGGAGCCAGAGCTACAGTTAAGTCATAGTCACACAGAAGAACGGTCTATAAAAATGAAATGAAGACTGTGTGTAAAAAGTGATTCTGAGTGCCCACAGTTAGAGAGTGCATATATGCATTTTTGCAACATGTTTAAAATGGCGGGGGTGGGGAAATAGAAATGCTGCACAACACCTCATTAACAGAAACACAATAAAAAAAAACTTAAGGCTTCATTTTGAAAAAAAGAATGGAAAAAGGGATCATTTCTGAATAGGAACAAAAAAGAAGAAGCACCAGAATAAACCACTTAGGTTTACTAGCTAAACGTAACATGGTCGAATTGCACGGAAATCGTTACACACTAAAAACAAAAACAAAAACCTCAGTCAGCCAAACCTAGTGTTAATTGACTCATTGGCTGACAGTTTGTGGCAACACGTTAGAAAAAAATGCCCACGATACTGCTGTTTTAAGTATTTTACAAAGCTTTCTGAATTTTTATGTAGTGCAAATAAGGTCTACTGAACAGCGGCCATAACAATAAAGTCCGTTAGTTGACTTCAGTGATGCTGAACATAATTAATAACGCTGCAAAAAGTGCCCAAAACGACCTTTGACTCTATTAACTCTTTGTTTGAATGGTCTGAAAGGCTGGTTAAACATTTGCATAAGAGCATTGTTCTCACCGTCAAGTGCTTTAGTTTGAAGAGCAGACCTCAGCCAAGTTGTTCTTCTCGTCTCTATTCAGACCTACAGACCGCCAACATCTGCACCTTCGCGCAAAAACCCGCTGACACCAAACGTCACCACAGACGTTTGCGTTCATAGGTCCAAATCCACCAATCACAGAGGGCGTAGAGGCTGCACGCGCCAGGAGCAGGAGGCCAAATTAACTGACACAAAGCCAAGAAGCTGACATGGCCTCGTGGTTCTAAGAGCAAAACATGCCGACAAGACCCTGCGTTTACCTGAGGTTATGAAACTGTCTGATCGATCTTAGTCACATATGTGATCATAAATATATGATCCAGTAAATGTTGCATTGAAAGCGACCTAGCTGGTAAGTACATTAAATAAAGTTTAATACACATTAACCCTTTTGTTTGGTGTTATGGTGACATTGGCTTTACTTTCTCCTTCCCTTTGCCACAAACACTTCCACATTTGATAAAGATGGCACTACTACATTACCATACATCATTATTACAGCAAATAAGGAAATATTTCATGTTTTACGTTATAATATGAGCTGGATTTGAGCAAATATATTTATTTATTTGCCAAAAAGCCATTCTCAAGATATTACTTAACTTTGGTGTCAGTAAGAATCATCTGTCTCCCTATTTTGTTGTGAGTTAATGTGTTTCATGTTATCCTCTTTATTATACAACTGGTCTGATCAGCCAGTATAAATGTTCCCTTTTTGGTCTTTGTTTGGGGGGTCAGTTGGCTTGTTATCATAGCCTGAGTTTAATTCTGTTCATTGGCTCACTTTTATGGGCCTGGAACTTGATTGCTTGTTTTTTTTTAATTCATTTTTCTCATTTTTGTGTAAATAAAACCCTCATTTTCAAAAATCCACCTGTGGCACCTCATGCCTTTCAGCTTGGTCCCTCTCAGAGTGTTATGGTCCATTTGAGTGTTTATCTCAACACACCTATTTTTCCAGTCCCTGCCATTAGTAGCTGAAAAGAGATTTTCATCATAGCCCAAAAGTATATTAAGGTTCATGGGTCATTAAACTGGCAATGGACTTATTTATGAAATATACCTATTTACATTCAGCTGTTTTCAGACATCCTCTGAGCGTGCTAACAAACTCTTTTCTTCTTTGCTGTCCTTAATGTTGTGTCTCATGTGAGGCGAGTTTAAGTTACAAAACAGTAGTTTCATCACTTGACTTTTGTTTTTCCAGGCTCAATATAAAATGTTGTCTAGATTTATTGTTGCATGTATTTGCATATCACTTTTCCATTGTCCAGCAAAAAATCTTGAACAGGAATCTTTCTTCCTCCTAACATTTTTCCTTTGTTGCAGCTATTGCTTAAGGGGAAAACTACAAGAATGCCCTTAGAGTGAGTGATGAAAGAGCAGTGATGGATGAGAGTGAACTTTTAATCCTGGCAACGGCGTCCAACGAACAAGAATATGGAGAGGCAGACTTCAGCTGCCAACCGCTGCCAGTGCCAGAACAAAGGGGTGATTATATTACACTCAAAAGGATGAGTGGCTAAAACGGCCAGTGGATGACAGAGGTTTGTTGTACAAAGTCTTACTTTCAGGTAAGAAAAAACACTATGCAGTATTACTTTCTTTTTCACAAACTGAAAAAGAAAACACAAAGGATTTGATTCCTGCGGAGAAACTAGGCTGCTGAAGGCAGATAATAGTATATAGGAGAAAACATTCGCATAAAGGTGGATTCATCTCAACATTTTCCTTTTACACAAGCTTTAGAACAATCTTTGCAGATCAGATGTAATATTTGACATGTAGATTCATTAACTGGTTGCATACATTTTTGTTTGTTGTGTTGGACTACTGTATCAGTAAATAACTTGTGTTTTTAGTCACTGTACTGACTGTAGGGAGGGTGTTTCTCATAGGTGATCCCAAACCAGAACATTTCGGATAAAGTTGGTTACAGCCAACCTTAAGCAACTTTGTTTATTAATGTTATCTTAAACTTTAAAAGCCATAGATTAGTGTTACTGCTATTACTACTGAAATCTTACCTTATTTTTCTGGAAACCAATTTCCCCCATTATCCTCAAGGAATCTTGGGGTCCCTGACCCTTCCTTTGACTATACTAAATATACACCAAGTCTGATATTAAAACTTTATCCCAGAGTTCTATCAAATATCAGGATAATTAAGATACATGGTCTTTCCTCACTCCCAGAAGGTCCCTACTCTTATCTGAGGTGAGAAGTGGCAATAAAATAGATTCTATTTATAGAGTTTGAATTACTGTTCCATATTTCAAATTCCCCTCTGAACCTCTGAAAATGTAACCTATCTCTGTCTTTAACATCAATTCAAAAGAAAATCTTTGAATGCATGTGAATGATGCATCCTTTAAAAGTGTCATATATTTTTACAGCTACAGAAGCTACAGCTGCCATTGGCTCTTCTTCATCGTTTACAGGCCATCTTTTACCTGAGCAGCATGCAAGGGCTTGAATACCCACACCTTTGTCAGTACCGACATTAATCTTAGTGTAGATTTGAACGAAATGCATTGAATATATTAACTGACAGATATTCCTCATATTAATCTCAGTTCTGCAAACAGACCCACTGTCTTCTTTCATCCTTAAACTAACAGATAGATGAGAATGGCACAGATGGGTTGACATTACAAAGAATTGCTTTAATTTGACTTCCCTCCTGTATATCCAGCCACCAGATGTGTCTGTTGAATCAGTACACCTTCTGGTCATGAGAATGACTCATAAACAGCTCTGATATGTTCTGACAGATTAGATTTGACTGTTGCTGCCGCTGGTGTGGTACAAGGTGGCATGTGCAGACATGACATAAATCACAGAGAAACTATGTCCCCAAAATGTTCCCTGTAATTGCAGTCCCTTCATCTCATGACTCTTGTAGTTTAGAATTAGTTCTAAGTTCATAAGTGTGCACAGTTTTTCTCCTGTGCAGGAACGTGTGGGGAATAGGTCATAGAGGTAAACTCTAAATATTTATGTGAGCCTTGTGTATCAGGTCAAGCCTAAGAACATCTGCTCTTACTATCAACATGTTATTGACTGATTAATCTTTTCAAATGTGAAATGTAGTTTATTGAAGCTACTTAAATTGAATGGCTCTAATGTAAAATGCTGGTTAAATGCTGCAACCTAGTGTCAGATAGAGGAATCAACCTGACAAAAAGTTAAAATGCACATACTATGTCTGTAATTCACATAGCATATGTAGCAATTAAAAAGCATTCATGTTACAGTTGGCTATTTCACTTACACTATCATGTAAATACTCTAGCATTATAAAAGAAGTGCTTCTAGAACATGTTTTTTATGGTAATATTTTCACAGAATTTAAATTCAGCTTGGTGGACAGTGGCAATATGATATCTTTAGTATAATCCATCAGATCACTTGTTGTCTCGCATAGACAGACCTATCTCAACAGTGCTGTGTCAGCACTTGTGACCAGGGTGGATTAGAGACTATATAATCAAGAAAGCCTTTATCCTGCTGTGTAGGACCACTTTATAATACACTACATTACCACTAGATTAATATTGGAAGATGGGATTCAGTGTTTGTTTTTAAGTCATACCTTTTGAGGTGGAAGTCCGAGAAATACTTTCATCTAGGCACGGGACAGTGGTTGCACTCACTGACTCGAAATTTCAGTGAAGAGGATAGAAAACATTTCTAATAGCCCCGAGTATAGTACTGTGTGTATTTCATAGATGAATACCATGGTCTACTTATTTTCATAGCTAGAGTTGGGATCTGTGGTAGCATAAGATGATTCCTATTGTACACAGTGCATTTAAAAATGAGCAGCAAAACCCACTCATGTTGCATATTCACAGTGTGTTGCAATGGTCACTTTGTGCTTTATGGCTATATACCTTGCAGGGTAAAGTCGATAATCTACTGATTATTTGTTATGTTTCCTTTCAGTGTATGGTGAACTGAGAAATGTCCAAGCTGGTTAATTTTACTCAGCCTACTAACACTCAACACTCATACTTGCTTTTAAATTATTTGAGTATTTAGCACGAAATTATTCCTTGTTCCAGGTTAGGTTTTAATGGGACTATTAATAACCCAACCACTGCTGGCTCCCTACTGTGCTAGTGCACTACTAACAGCAGGGGCTTTGAAGAGGCTTCTGTCAGCACCTGACAGGCTCTCTTTTGCTGTCCGCTTAGTTTTAAAGAACAGACACGCAGCTTCTGGGATGTTGAGCAAGAGAACAGATGGTAGGTTTCAAAGTCCCCACATTTACCATCATGTTATTCACTGTGTGCAGCAGACACACCTAGAGTAAATTTAGATTGGCGGAAATAAACTGTGCCACTACACAAGTTCAATCCATTAACCACACAACGATGTGTCATCATTCATAAAAATGCAGCATATTTTATACGCTGAAATAACTATGGTTAAAACAATTTCCTTTTTGTCCTACTCACACTAACGTCTCTTGGTGGGTCCAGTATACTATTTTTTTGTGTTTTGCATCATGAAAAATTTATCATTTGTGTCAATCGTGAAAACCTTTATTTTGAAAAGCCGATGAGCAGCTTCCGACTGTTTAGTGTCCTGGGCTGTGGTATTATTATACGGTGCAGCGAACGGCGTCGATACGCTACCGTCCATTTCAGCATTTTAATGTCAAAATGGGAGCTTGTCTGGCCTTGTGTTCTTTAGCCAGCTGTGTAAGTATCTAATCCAAATACGACTATTATCTCAAATATCAACGGGAGGCTTTTGTTCCCTCTTGTCGTCCTAACGTTAGCTTTTAGCTAGATGAGATAAACTAAGGGTAACGTTAGCTAGCTGATGAATTTGTTCGGTTAAGTGCCACCTACGTGACATTTAACCTAAAAAGCTCTTGTTATAGCTAGTTAGTAAGATAACTGCAGATACTAGTTGTACTGGGTAGTTATAACGCTAGATATACGAAGAAAGTTCGCTTTGCAAGCTACTGAATCATCAAAGGAAAAAGTGTCAGATTGGGCCTTTGGCACTGGTGTAAACACATTTAACCCAGCTAGCCAGGTCACATAGTTACGCTAACACTACCAAGTTATTGGCAAAAAATGAATTTATATGCTTTGGATTATCTCTGAGACAACAACTGGCAGACTGCTACAAGAGTACCGTTCGTTTAGCGTTAGATTGGCTAGCTCGGTCACTGTCAGTAGCTTTAGATTAAATAAGGTGGAGTCTGTCTTTCTGTGTGGGTTATATATTTACCTGTGACCATCATAACAGCCAAAGGGTAGTTCTGCCTTAGATTTACTTACAAGGATAACAATAGGCCCGTGTTGTGGTTTATGCTTATCTACTTGAATCCCCATATTGGAAATTCACTGGTATGATTATAATATACCAGCCCAGTATTTCTAATGGAACAAGACCTATTAGTGATTGGCATTCTGCCAAAGCAGTTGCTTACATTCATTTGGCCCTTGTCTAATTTATAAAAGCCTGTCAAGCCCAAAGCTATTACTTGTCCGTCGTTTTTACTCCCACTCCCACCCTATGCCCTTTCCTATAGGCCTCCTGTCTGTGTGGCTCAGCACCATGCCTTCTGTGTGGATGCTGCCCCTCTTCCAATAACTCCACTATCACAAGGCTGGTATTCTCCTTCTTCTTGCTGCTGGGGACCATGGTGTCTGTCATCATGATCCTTCCTGGAATGGAAACACAGCTGCGAAAAGTGAGATCAGTGTGTGTATTTGTGTAATGTGTATGTATGTACTTGACTGTACTGTTGACTGATCAGAATCTGGAAGTAGATGCGATGACGCATCTATATCCTCTGGTTACACAGTTTGTATACAGGAAATGTCTAAAATGTGTTGCAAGATGCAGTTGTTGCAGTCATTTTATAATTTGATATTTTCACAGAAATTTACCATAAGTTATTGTTAGTATACATATTTTCTGTATGTTATAGATGAGCTTAATTACAAATTAGTTTAATCTGACTTTCTTGTGTAGATCCCAGGATTTTGCCAAGGAGGAACCACTATACTTGGTATTGAAAACAAGGCCAACTGTGATGTCCTTGTGGGCTACAAGTCTGTGTACCGTATGTGCTTCGCCATGACCTGCTTCTTCTTTCTGTTCTCCGCAATCATGATTCGTGTCCGTAGCAGCAAAGACCCACGTGCAGCCATTCAAAATGGGTAAGTGCCTTATATGGAACTCAGTGGTTCATGGATGGAGGTAGATTTGCATGTGCTACTTCCGTCTGTCTGCTGTACTGATGGTGGGTTTGTAACTATTTATTTTTCCAGGTTCTGGTTCTTTAAGTTTCTGATCCTGGTTGGGATAACAGTGGGAGCTTTTTTCATCCCTGACGGAACATTTCATACTGGTACTAACATGCTCTGTTAAATTACAATAAATATAAATATACGTATTTTATCCTTTTCTTGAGCACACACAAAACTGAGTTTGTGATTTGTCAGTGACTTTTTAGTCAGTTTTCAGAAACTATATCAGCTTTATCCGTTCACTTTTCAGTGTGGTTTTACTTTGGAGTGGTGGGATCCTTCATCTTCATTATCATCCAACTTATTCTCCTCATCGACTTTGCCCATTCCTGGAACAAGGTGTGGGTAGAAAATGCTGAAAATAGTGACAACAAATGCTGGTTTGCAGGTACTATATTCACTTGAAAAGAGACTTTTCTTCTAGAGCCCAACCGATAGTGGATTTTTGGGGCCAATACCAATATAAGGGAGTAAAAAAATTCCGATATTGATATTTACACACACACACACACACAAGTATATATAATATATAATAGTATATATATATATATATATATATATACTTGTGAAAAAGATATGTAATAAAAGCAGGATATTTTACAGTTTAACAATAAACTTTATTGTCAAAAATTAAATCAGTGCACTAAAACGGTAAACTTAACATAAGAACAAATATGTATGTATATACATATTAACTTGAATGAAAACAAAGGACCAAATATAAATAAAATGTTGCCTATATAACTTGACTACACCCAAGCGTTTCCACTGCATTATTACTTCTTGATAAAAGTATTCATATCAGCCCATAGCGGAGAATATATGTGCCGATAGCGCTACATCAGTGATAGGCCAGTATCAGCAGATAAAATCGGCCGACCAATATATCGGTTGGGCTCTAGTTTCTTCCAATCTTAAACTATTTATTTGTCAAATAATTATACAGGACAAACAGAGTGTAAAATATGCACATCCAAAGAGACTTTCACAGGTGCTGGATTAGATAATTCAAATTTAAAGCAATAGTCAGAGAGAGGATCTTTGTCAGGCACTGTCAAATTTTGACAGTTTTGTCAACTGTCAAATTGTGTCAGATTTTGACAGTGCCTGATGAATATCTCTAGTAGATCGAAACTTTAATTTTAAAAAATTGCTGGGAGCTATTAACAGTGTGTGGATCCTGTCTCTCACTCTTGCCTCTTGATTAGAAGACAGATGTCTGCTGTCCAAGTCGTTAACTCATTTTTATTATACTTGTGGTTTTAAGCAATTAATTTTAATCTATGCTTATGTAAATTACAGGCCTGCTGTCTTTTACCTTCATCTACTATGCCCTGGCTATCACTGCTGTGGTGCTTTTCTACGTTTACTACACACAGCCTGATGACTGCACAGAGCACAAGGTCTTCATCAGCCTCAACCTTATCTTCTGCATTATTATATCCATTGTCTCCATCCTTCCTAAGATACAGGTACAGTATGGAACAGCCTTTGGCCATAACCAAACTAATGCAGATACATTTATAAACACAATTATTTTGTGGCTTTCCCTAAAAATCGTACTTGAAATCCTCTCCAGAGTTGACATAACAACTTTCTGTCATCTACAACTCATTCCAAGAAATACAAATAATGTCAATTTGCATTTATACTGTCAGACAACTTTGAGAACATACAGTGGCATAAAATACACAGCTTTCATATTGTTTTTGCATTCAAGTGTGGGCAGTGAAATCTTTGAAAACAGTATTAAAACACTATTGTGGATAGAAGGAGAGAGGAGAATGGTGTTTTCACATTTATTGTTACTAGTGATGGACATGGCCTTATGTTTGTCCTTGCTATTCAATCCTTTGAGGAAAAGGGTTTTGTACTTTTTACACTGAGTAGACTATAATATGGCAAATTACATATAAACCATGTGTCTCCCCTGCTTCATAGATTATTTTTTACACTCTCAGTTGCACTTTTAATAGAAATACTCACATCTGATCACAGTTAGTTATTTAAACAATTTCTTGACTGCAGCGCAGCATTAGATTTGCTGTTCCAGTCAAAGGTCTTTCCATCTCACATGCGGTTATACGTTTGTATAACCAGTCAAGTCAAAGAATAAATTATTTACATGCATCAGTTTTTTATTATGTGAAGAGTTATATTTCTTTAAAGTCTGAAACACAGTGTTGTGTGAAAGTCTGTAATGCTGTATTTTTTCCTGTGTGATACAGGAAGCTCAGCCACACTCTGGTTTGCTCCAGGCTTCACTCATCTCCCTCTACACTATGTATGTCACTTGGTCTGCAATGACCAACAATCCAAGTAAGTCTCCTGATGATTTATACCACAGTTTTCCTCTTTAGCTTTTGGTTGCATGCTCAGATGTGATTATGCTCTGTTTTCTTTAAATATATGCACTTGCTGTTTATCTGCTGCTGCATTTTGACCACATGGGTGAGTCTTCCCTGACATGATATAGGAACAAAGAGCTGCATTGTTTACTGCTAGTTAGCACACCTTCCTTATCTCATGTCATGTGATCTGTCTTTGCCTAGTAAATGACAACAATGGGCAAGCTTGTGGTGACTGTACGGCTAGTGCTCAGTTGCCTTTTGGTAGACTCCACAATTGCTGTCATGCATTAGCTTTAGTTTTATCTACACATGAAGGCATCTGAGATCTCTTTACATGTGACATTGAAATCACATCTCTGTCCATGTAGAACTGGATTTCACTTTTGTTTTGGAAAGTGCTACTTGGCCTTGCCTTTTCTGAAAACTCTCATATTTCATGAATGTTGCACAAACTTTTTTTTTGCTAGATGCCATAGGCAACAGCTGCTTCTGACACAAGACAGACCAGCAAAAAAAACATTAGTATACAGTAGAGAAGTGCTCAACATGAGCATTTAGTTCAGTCTTAATGTGAGTAATGTATTAATGAACTGGAAAACATTTACTTTGTTTTTACTATATTAATATTGCCAAATGCATGAGTTAATTTACATAAGATTTTTTTTTTTATGTATTGCCACTACAGTCAAATGGATTTCAGATGCTCTGAGACACAAGAATATATCAAGTGTAAACAGGCTCACTGTATAATAATGCTTTTTGCATAATGTATTATAGTGTAATAAAATGTCTAATGCTGTGTGTATACTTTTTGTTTTAGATCGGAACTGTAACCCCAGCCTATTGAGTCTAGTGTCAAACATCAGCACCACTGTACCATCTGGTGACGGCACTACAGGACAGGTGCAGTGGTGGGATGCCCAGGGCATCGTAGGTTTGGTCATCTTCCTTTTCTGCACTCTCTATGCCAGGTAGGTTTACTGTCTCAAATTGTTCTTCTCCTGTTTTTTTATTATTTTTATATTTTTTGCAAAACTCGCTCTCCATTTTGCTCCCTTAGTATTCGTTCGTCCAGCAACACCCAGGTAAACAAGCTGATGCAGACAGAGGAGAGTGGAGGAGAGGGTGGAGGAGAGGGTGTAGTGGGAGAGGACGGCATACGCAGAGCCGTGGACAATGAGGAAGAGAGAGTCACCTACAACTACTCCTTTTTCCACTTCCACCTCTGTCTGGCCTCTCTGTACATCATGATGACTCTCACCAACTGGTACCAGTAAGTGTCTCTCCTCAACATATTGTTTGACATCAAACAACAGGTGCCCAAAGGTTAGACAGTTAGACTTGTGACTGGAGGGAAGACTCCTAATGAGGAAGTAAAAGTGCTTAAAAACAGAAAAATGTTAAAATCTGCATCTGATAAAATGAGCTCAAGAGCAACAACAGCAAAAAGTAAAACACCTGTGTTTGATGTTTCTAAGATGGCCAGATGTTTTGAAATCATTAGGTTTCAGGCATTGCAGACCTATACTTTGGCCACCAGAGGGCACATCATTACTTCACCTGGAAGTACTCATTCTTCCAGCACAACTTGAATATTTCCACAATCACCTTTCTATAAAAGAAAAAAGTCACCCACCACAGTGTCTTGATTAAAAGCCCTCAGAGGAAAAATTTTTGTAGATCGATTCCAATAGATGTTTTATGTTGAGTTGGTTTCTCTAAATTGTACTTTTCCCTCTGCATCCTCACTCAGACCGGACACCACCACCCAGGCCATGCAGAGCAGTATGCCTGCTGTGTGGGTGAAGATGAGCTCCAGCTGGCTGGGCCTTGGCCTCTACCTCTGGACCCTCATCGCCCCACTCATCTTCCCTGATAGGGATTTCAACTGAGCACACCTTGTCTTTTGGCTGTCTTTGATTCTGCTTTTTTTTGTTTGTTTGTTTGTTTGTTTGTTTTCGTGCCTAATGTAGAAGGCAGTGTGAAGGATGCTATAAAGGAAATAGGAAGGATGCTATAAGGGAAATACTTAAAATTATTATTTTTTCTTTTCCAGATGAACACTTTTGCTATTGTGTGTCTATTGTTTTACTTTTCTCAGTATGTTTGAGTGTTGTAATCACTACAGATATTTGAAAGTGTAAATTGATTTTATTAGTTAGCCTGTTTGATGCTGGTGTTAGCCACAAGAAGGTATTTTCTTTGCCAATGACTCACCTTGATGTGGCATGATTGTATGAGCTCTGTTATATTTTTGCTGAATTTTAGTTACTGGACTATCACAAAGCAACAAGGCACTTTCTCAATACCTCAGACGTTTCATTTACAGATTCCCTTTTTAAGGCCTGTGAGATCAGACTTCTCTGATTGGCCAGGTCTGGAGCCTGTCTGATTAGCTGGACTCTTAGTGCTGGTGCAACCAGGGTAGCCCTCTTTAGGAGCCCCAGAGCGAGGTGAGTGTGAGAGTTAGATAAGACTAATATGACACACCCCACAGATCATAACAGGGCTTCCCCTTTGCTGCTGGGCTGTATGCAAATCTACGTCATCGCACCTTGATCCAGAGAGTCCTAATATACAACCAGTCTAATCTCAGCTCTTCCTTGCCTTCTTCAACCTAAGGTAATTAATCTGCGGTGCTAAGCCTTTCCATGTCTGACTGTGTTTGGCCTTGTACAGCCACGGTAACAGTCTGTACCTGTATAGCAGTCTATTTGCAGCAGGGAGGCTTGTATTGATCCATAGCAGTCAGCATCATGCAATGTGCAGCGATACGGTTCAGGAGGTGATGGCGTTAACTCCACGCCACCTGCGCTCTCACAGATACCATTATTTCCAGAATGTTGCAGAGTGTGCTACTGAGTCTAGAGAAAAGGGATTTTTAAATGTTGTAATGTAAAAAAAACAATAATGAAGCATTTCAGAAATGATAAATTGCTGTTAAATGGTAATGAGCTGCATAGTATGTTGATGGTTGTAATGGTGTTAAGTAATTTTATGCATTATATAGTAGTTACCTCAATTTCAGTATGAACAGAATGAGTTAAAATAAGATGAGTATATTTTGTACTTGTGAAAAATGATTTTGGTACAATCCTGTAAATGTTATCCTTTGTCTATGTTATGTTCTTTTTCAATACTTCAACACCCACACACACACAAATCAGACTTTCTGTGTCTCTGGCTGCATGTGAATATTGTGAATAGATTTTTCCAGGTGATGTGATAAATTGAGTCGTTTTATATTAATTTTGTTTATCACACATGTCAAATGTATTTTACCATTATCCACCTACAAAGGAAAAGTATTTAGACAGATTTGCCAACATTAGATCATAACATGCAATATTTCAAAACACTATTAAGTGCCTTTTTGTAGTTCAGCATTTCAAAAAAAGTCACTAATGCTGACGTGCTTATTATGCCTTGCCTTACACATTGTGGTGAGTCAGTCATTGCATGCCATAAGGCATAGGCCTTTGGCATGAATTAATATTGTAATTAATGTATAAATTTTATTTTTAATAAAGATGAAAAACCTTCACTCACTCGCTTTACAGTTGCATGAAAAATGTCAAAGAGATGATGATGGAGTGTAAAACCTACAAAATAATTTGATAAAAGCGTAATGGAAGACATTTTTTTGTTTACATTTGATGATGTTTTACCATTGATATACTGAGGAGCTGTAATTACTGGAAAGGTAATTAATACGTTTATGTTTAGGGTGCTTTAAGTGCTGCATGGATGTTATTGATTATACTTAACATCTCCTTATCTCTAAAGGGTCACTGGGGTACCACTAGACGGAACAGTATAGCTCTGACTAGATCTCACTCCTTTTCCCTAGCTGTAAATTGCAGCAGTAAATGTATGTGACCTGTCTTTTGTGCTGGTGCGGCGACAGAGCAGTGTGTGCGCGCCAGTGCTTACAGTCTCTGCTGTGTTATTTCCTTCTTGCCTGGTTGGCAGACGGGACATGTTGGTTTTGGCTGCTACAGTCACTCAATCCAGTTGGCACTGTCTGGAACCGCTCAGGACACACTACCTCCTGTCGACTTCCACCCTCTCACAGCACCACCCCTCCCTCAGCCTGTCCAAGACAATCCTGAGTTGATGGATTGTGTCACAGTGTAGCTGTGAGACTGAATTTTTCGTTTTCTTCACGTGTAGCAGAGAAAACAAAGACTTGGACAACAGCATGCAACCGTAAAACCATAAAGAAAACAATTAACAGACAGTAAAGAAAACGGGTAGTAATACAGATTGGATCAGAAGGGAGGGAACATAAGTTCAAGTACATGATGTAATGCAGTATTGATACAAACTAAATATGAGGTAAAGATATTTCAATTAGAATAAATTTAAAACATGATTTTCCAGTGTTGCATGCTGTAAATAGTATGTGGTTCCCCAACAAGGCTTCATTGACAGAAAAAAGCACAGATACAGATTTAGCAAAATTAGTGTGCAAACAGTGTGGTGTCCCATTACAAACACTCCTTAAGTTTCACCACTGAAAGTTGCAAGCCTAGTCTTTTTCTGTAGTTAAACCCTCTGTCCACATCGCGTGAATGTTTTGCAAAGTGGAAGTCCTGTCTTGTCTCTTTGCAGTGCTCACTGTCCTGACACATGGTTTCACTTCATGGGTCAGACACGCAGAGGAGGTGGGATGAGGGGGGTTGTCTGTTGAGTCTTGTGCAATCATCATCTTCAAAAGAGACTTAGACATTGTAGTAAACTCACTACCAAACCAACAGATGTGATGGAAAAGGAGCAGACAGGCAACATCTCCTTCCAAACCTCTGGTGTTTTGATTTTAATTGTTTCAGTTTTATTGCTGCAGCCAGGCTAAACATAATCTCAGTCTTTACTCCTTTAAGAACTGCCTTCACTCTTGTAAACTCACCTCTTATTCCTTCATTTCTCTGTGAGTGATTGAAGTATTTATTGTATAAAAGCACCAGACTGAGCTTCTTGAGACTAAAGAATTCTTTGCACTATACTCTTCTTCCATTAGCCCCATTGAAATTTAACAGCCTCTGAACACAGCCAACAGTCTCTGAGAACAAATTAGCTAAGCGTCATAAATCGCACTTTTATTTCCACCTGTTATCATCAGGTGTACAAGTGTGAACTGGATTTTTCTCCTAGGGTAGATTTAAGACACTCTCCGTCTTTGGCCATTGGCTCCAGTGTCATAAATCCCACCTTCATTTCCTCTGTTATCATCAGATGCAATTTGTCGCTGTAATAAGAGATCAGAGGCTGTAAAGTGCTGATTATGAACCACTTAGTGTAGCTCTGCAGCCATGCTTGGTTAGGCATCCTGGGATTTTTTAATTGCAGATTGACTGAAACAATGGTTATCAGTTGCAGTGTTATCCCTGACCTTAATCTCCACTTGCCTGTTCCCACGTTGGCTGGGAAATGTCAGCATTTAGCTGTATTTTGCATTCACTCGTCAAGAATAAGGTCATTCTCTACATAAGTCAGCACAGTTTTCAAGCTTCGAGTCAGTGCTAATTACTACAACTTAAATGAGCAGTAAACAATAAATGAGTAGTACAGCTGCTCCTGATGCTGATTTGGATAAGCATTGTTTTGCGAGAGGATTGCGTATCCCTGACCACCTCTTTGACAGAATGACTGGAAATGCCTGTCTGAGGTGTAATTGGGTTTTAAGAGTGGGATCCAGGCCCATTAAATTATGTGCTGCATGCAGGGGAGCTAATTGAGTTTGGGCCCTGCTGGCATACTGCATGTGCACTGGAAACATTTACCCAACATTAAGCCCCAATTAGGCTTTTCAGGATGGGAAACTTGTTGCAGGTTGATGGGAAGAGAAGATGCTGATGCCTGTCAGACTCACTACATAGTTTGTCTCCAGCAAGTAAAATGTGGGCACTAATAGATGTGCTTGTTTTAAATGAACTAATGAACTTCCCCGGGACTTGGTAGGGCTATTTTCCTCATTGTGTACAATCGCATCCATCCTCTCACTCTGGCTGCAGTGCAATGCAGTCACTCTGTCCTAAAGTGGAAGTATAGAAATCTAAAAATCTGTGTGTGTGTGTGTGTGTGTGTGTGTGTGTGTGTGTGTGTGTGTGGAGGGCTCTCCTGTGCGCATGCTCTCCCTCAGCTCAGAGGAGCAGCTAATGCAGTTATATAACAGTCAGTGCAGCCGGCGTCTGCTGTGAGCCAAATGCCAGGCCAGTCTGGTTACATAAGCCTGTCAGAGTCATATTGTAGCAGTACGGAGCGCTCACACCACAGCATGTCCCTGCACTCCTTCCACCTTCTCCTGCTCTGTCTCTCACTTCCTCCCACTGTCTCTCTTTTTGCTCTCCTCTCCTCTTCTTCTACACCTCTCCCCCACCTTCCTCCCCTCCCACTTTTCCTTTCCTTTCCTTCCCTTTCCTCTTTGCTGCGGCGCTGTTCTCAACGCCAGGAACAAAGAGTCAGCGTGCTGGATGCAGATGCACAGGCAGGTCTGAAAATATGAGACACAAAAGAGTGGGTCTAACTGTACCCTCTTATGCGGAGAGGACAAAATGTTACTTATTCTGCATCAGGTTCTCCTTTACAAGACATCATGACATGACATGTAATCATTCAGCTGCTGGTTGTTTCATTGTCCTTACAGCAGATTTATTCCTCCATGTGTTTATTTCTCCCTGTGTGCCATGACAGTGATGTGTAAGCTGAAAAGATGAGGTGTGCTGCCAGTTACCATCACATGTGAGCTCTGATGTTCACTGACCTATGCAACACCATTTGATCTCCGGCTACGGCTACAGTCGGGCCTGCTTCTCTCATTGCCCTTTACTGTATCTGACCCTCTTCGGGTCAGACAGACAGGGTCATCAGAACAGCAGGAATGCTCTGAGCACTGAGATGTGTGCAAAAATAAAATTTGCAAAACACTGCCTGTGATCCTGCAACAGCTCACACAGTCAGCTGGGAGAAGTTAATTGATTTGTGGCCTCACATCCTGACCTCCATTATTATCTCTGCTGTGTGTGATGCTATGTCAGCACCACTTAACGTTGACTATTCATTCTTGGGCTATAGCAGGAAGGAGTGTTTGGTGGTATAAGTGTGTGGAGGTGAAATATTGTAGCTGAAAGCTCAGTTCAGAGGGTGCATGATCTCCTACATCACTCTCCTAAACTCCTATTCTCATTTAAGCGACTGCATGAGGTTGCCTGGCTAATTGGAATTAATAGCCTTAACCAGGAACTGCTCCTTTCAACCAATCGCCGGCTCCGCCAGCTCATGATTATTCATGAGGCGGGCTCGGCGCGCCACCCCACTGGTTGAGGCTGAGAGAGAGGGAGGGGGCGGTGTCCACCGAAACTGCCGTGCGGGGTGGTGCGGAGCAGCTGAGTGTGCTTTGCGTAGGGCGAGATGTTGTTTTGTTGTGGCGATCAGCTGAATGTGGCATCGCTGTCCGGTCTGACACAACAGTGGGAAGCACCCCGAGCCCCTCCAGCTCTCCCTCCCCAGGAACGCGGGCACCGAGAGCAGCTCGATCTAGCGCATCACAATCCAGGAAATGCGGACTTCTGGCCCTTTCACTACGGGATAAATGGCTGCAGCGCCCGTACAGTAGCAAGCTGGTAAATATGAACCTTATTATTATTGCTGTGTTTATGACTTAAGCTCGGTGGTGTTGCAGTGGCTGTCACAGGGAGGGAGGAGTAGTATGGTGTGAAGTTGAAGGCAGGATCCCACCCGTGTTTTCACAGTAAGAGTGTGTCATGAAGTTGAGTTGTCTCGTTACGTGTTATAATGATAAACGGAGTTTTAAAAAAAAACAAAAAACAGTGAAGATGGGTAGCATGCGGCGCACCACAGCAGCAGTCAGTTCAGAGGGGTTTGGGTGGACTGTCGCGGTCCAAACTACAGCAGCTACGCGCAGCATTTTAAGCTGAAGCAGCGACGGGGGCGCTGCGCGGCAGCTGACAGCATATGCTTCATCATGTACCTTCATTCACCCCCGTTTGTCCTAAATGACAAACCGGTTGAGGAGAGCAACAGTGCGGACTCTCACACGCGCACGCACGCAGCCTATACGCACAAATGTAAGATTCGCGATCGGGCCCGTGAACTTATTTCTCATGGGCTACACCTACACTTGCCAGATTTTTAGAGGATGACATCATGCTTTTGTACTCACCAGCTGTTATATGATAGATGGGCTAAGTTTGGGACCCAAACAGGTTTATTTTGGCGGCCGTTCAGTAAGTAACACCTACTCTGCTTCAAGTTAAGCCCCTCTATTATTTAAGCTGTTTTATTATCACACTTCCCACACAGGGTTCACCTTTACACAGCAAGGGAACGACAATATTATTGTAGGATGGACTTTGGATACGGACACGATGAATGACTGTGTGACAGTTTTTGGGCAAAAATAGTTTCCTTACAAACCATATATACTCCATCAATTTGCTGAACAACAGAGTAGCAGGAAGTCACCTTGAGTAAGTAGCTGCATTTTTCTATCTATCTATCTATCTATCTATCTATCTATCTATCTATCTATCTATCTATCTATCTATCTATCTGTCCATCCGTGAGCATATATAAAAGAAATGTAAAGCTGACATAAAAGGTCTTATATTATATAAGAGAGTTGTTGCACTCTTTTTAGCTCTAATGTCAGTCTGGCAGGAAGTGAGGTAAGGATAGCACTTGAAATGTGTTGCTCTATGTAGATGAACAGTGGTTCATCACAGTGGTTGCACAGCTGTCTGCTTTAAAGCCAGGTGCTGCTGAGAAATTGTGTTTTATTTGTTTTTGGGGTTTTTTAAATATATTTCTGGAGGTTCAATATGCCTATAAATGCAACTCACCATCCAATCTAGAGGAATGTGGATGTTAAAAAAAATAATAATAATAATAACAGCAGTGCTGCAGTCTCCTCCTCCAGTTCTGGGTCTGTAGTACAACTTACAGCACAGGAATACAGTAAAGTGTCAGGCATCGGTGGTAAAGGGGGATGAGTGGAGAGAGGCCAATATGCAATTATTTCTTATTGAATCAGCACAAAGTGGCAGCCTTACAGTTCTCCGCTCTGGCCTGGATCAAGACCACTTGTGGTGCTGGCTGAAGAAAGGCGCTAGCTCAGCAGGCACCCAAAGAGAGCGCCGCTCCGTTCCCTTACAAACTTCCAAGATTGTTGGACATCCTGAAGCATTTGATCTAGGGTTTAGGGATTACTGCCATTTATGGTTTCAACATGGATTGGGATAAAAGCTGCTAGTCCGACTTACACTGATATTTTTATACCATTGTAACTTGGCAAACATATTAGAAGGTGGCTTGTTAAGAATAATTACTATGCTTTAAAGCTGGAGATGAATGTGCTATTATCTATATAGCTGCAGAACCTGTTTTCATACCAGTCAATAGTTTAGCAATGCCAGTTCCTCACAAAAAGCTTTGTCTCGCAGCTGTAGACTTGTGCAATGAGTTTGTTCAGGTACAATAAAAGCGAAACGTAACTGTGTAACACTGATTACTGAAGACCTCACTCAGTGAGCCAGGCAGGTTTGAGTGTGTGTCGTCTATATCTCTCCCTGGCACAAGCAACACTCCAGATGGAAAAGAGCAGTTTTCTGCCAATTAACACAGAACCACTCAACACCTTATACACTATATCTCTGCTTTCACATATACACACACTCACCTGGCATACCCTCTCCACTTCACTCCATCTCTCACACCCTGAGTCAGCCTCGCAGGTGGCAACGTGCTGATTTAAATGCATGAAATGCCATCATCAGGGAGAGGGTCGCGTGGAGTTCCTGCTAAAACCTTCAGACACGCCTCCTACAGATAACAAGGTGTGATAACCACGGCAACACAGGAGCAAAGGATCAGGAGATGATCTGCAGTTTTTTTTTTTTTTTTTTTTTCTCTAGTAAGAGTTACAAGTTGATGTGAAATTCTTAGGAGTTAAATAGATGGTGCGATGCCTATGACACTGTAGGAAAAGTGAACGAGCATGTTCAGTGTGCAGCCTGTTCAGCGTCACGCATGACTGTTGGTTCAACGGATTACACAAAGTATTAAACGGCTTGTACGAGCATGTTTAAGTTTTGTTTTCTTTAAGAGAGCATGTTGGACGGATGGCATTATCAGTCTCCTGCAAGAAAAATAAACACACACAGTGACAGACACACACACACACGTGCATGCACACACAGTGACACACACCCAGGCTGTAAAATCCTGGTGGCTGGTGGACACAACCTTTTCATGTCCCTGCTGCTGGTCATTAATCCTGTTCTCTGGAGCACCAGAGAAGAATAGACCCACTGTAGTGCTGAGAGACCAGAGTGAACCAGGAACAAGACCTTGGATACACATTCGCGCAAACACACACATGCACACACACACAATGCAAAATGGAGGCCAGGAGTGCCAGTCTGGCAACTTCACAAATGCCCCACTAGCCTAATAACTTTATTGCATGCATCCACTCTCATTGTGAATATATGCTTTATTAGGAAATGCTTTCTGTTATTTACTCTCGTAGCTTTGTGTGCGTTTGAATCATTTGGGTCAGCATGTGTGTCGGGACGGGTGTGTGCGTGCGTGTGCGTGTGTGTGTGTGTGTGTGTGTGTGGGGGGGGGGGGGGGTTGTCGTCTCTCAGTGTCTGGCTCCGGCTCAACCTCTCACCCAGGCCAGTGTGTTGGCTGCCCCTTCAAAATGGAGATAGAGTTTCCTTGTGTTTGCCAGGGAGCAAAGAGTCAGTACTGTAGAATATGTATGTTAGTGTGGCTGCATGCCCACATTCGTGTGTGCCGGCTCAGGTTATGTAACGGCATATGTAGATGATGATGTACATGTACAGCCGGGCAGGTACTGCAGAGAGAGGACGCATAACAGGGGGGTTACTGATTCAAACACTCCCTTCATAAGAGTTAATCATTACCCACTTAGGCACAGTTGGTGGCCAAGTGGAATGTCGGGTGGGGGTGGGGGTGCTGTTTGTAATGGCAATCCTCCCTCAAAATAGGCCACTTTATTATTACATCACAACAACTCCAAAAGTTCACCAGGCCATAATATGACATTTTGACTAGATTTACATTTTCTATTGTTCTCTGTGTATGTTCCAATCTGTTTTCTCCTCCTATCAACATTGAGGGTATTTTTGTGCATGTCTTCACTTTCCACAGTGGCCACTGTTGTGTAATAGTGATTGTTGTAGTGTGATTGTAAGCCTCTGCGCTGCTTACCACAGGTATGTCTGGAAAGCGTTTGGCCAGAATCTCATTGGTAAGATTTGTGTAATACTTGCAAGAAGCTGATGACTGCTTGGAAAAAAAAACCCCGTGATAAACGCTCATCAAACAGTATCTTATCATTGAGTGGATATTCAGATTGGAATGATCGAACTAAACCTGCACCCTCTGGAGGTTGGGCACGAGATTTTCTGGTGAGGATTCTTCGTTGCCTTGAAAGATTAGCTATGGATACATCCCTAGTGTGTGTATCGATCAGTGATGCAGGCGAGGTATTATATTTCACGATTAGATATCTCCACCTCTTCCAAATTTCTCACTTTCTTTCTCTGGGTCCCAAGGTACCCCTCTGACCACACCCCACAACCCTCAGCACACACACAGTTCCAGATCACAGATCAGTCGCATTGTTTGTGTGTGTGTGTGTGTGTGTGGGTGGGTGAGGATTAAGGAAAAGAAGAGAAAGCACAATATACTTTTATAATTAATCATTAATCACGTTTCGAATGAAATGAATGTCCTACTGGATCATTTGTCCTCTCTTTAGAACTGATTCCTCCTACTTCCTCTCCTCTAATTTACTTTCCTCTTCTGGTTTCCTCTCCCCTCTCAGCCCTTTTCTCTCCTCTTGTATACTTTCCTTACATTTCCTCTCCTCCTTTCTCCTTTACTCCCTCCTCCTCTCCTACCCTCTCACTTCCCCTCCTGTCCTCTCTTCTGATTTCCTTTACCCTTCTCCTTTCTCCTCTTCCCTTGTGTCCTCCACTTTCTCCCCTTTTGTTCTTCTTTTACCTCTTATTTCCTTTCCTCTCTTCACCTTTCCTCTCCTCATCTCCTTCTCTGGAGTCCTTTGTCTCAGCATGTAAGGCGTCCCTGCAGTAACTGCGAACGAGGATTGGAGGGGATTTCTGCTCTGTGGGAGGGTAAGAGGGCTTTGGGGGAAAATCCTTCCAACCCTACCGCGGATCTGCTGAGCAAATCAAGGCAGCAGGCGATGCTCCAGCACAATCTTCCCTTGCCATGTCACTGTCGCTGAAGCAGAGCGGTTGAACTAACCCTTGGACCCCCTCCTTTAGCTTCACTCTTTAAAAACCTTGTGAAATCTTTGGAACACCCTTTGGTAGAATCCAGATCTGTTTTGACTCTCTCTTGGCGCTGTCAGTCTGCAGTGCGCCGTGTTCAGCCTTGAGGAACGCTCTCTTACCTGGCGAGCCTTCATGCTATGAAGTGTGTTGGCTTGTGGAGAGCTCCGAGGCATGCTCTTTTTTTTATCTTTTAGGTCATAGCTTACAATATCATCCAGTAAACCACGGCTACCATTGAATAATGTGTCATATGTAAAGAATAAAATGAAAAAAGT